AACCGTGCATCCCAAAAAGTCCCAAAAATCACCTTTGTCCGTCCGTTCAAGCGTAAGCTTCTCATGGTAACAACCTCGGAAGGCCTCAATGTCTTCCTTGCCTTCTTCTTGGTATCCGGTCTCGATATGTTGTATCGAACAAAAATCGTAACGTCATCAACTATCCGCATTCGATAGGTCGACACCCGCAAGCTACCCAAGGAATTAAGAAAGGAAAACTCAGCCCTCGCACAGAGCAGGCAAGCAAGAGTCGGGCTCGAAGCCTTTCCCATCGGTATACCCAGACATTGTTTCATCGTCATTCCATAGGCAGACACGTAGGTACAGTCACTGTCAAACCCGACCTCTTTCCACCCAATCAATGTGCCTCCAACCCTTATCTTCGCCCCTTTGCCTCGTCCTTTCAATAACACACTCTTACAACCTTGCACCATCCAAAAGTCGACCACCCATCTGACCGCTTCCATCACCGCATCATGAGGTAGGTTACAAAACATCTCCTTGATGTCGAACGCTGCAGACATAAATCCCTCACCCTTCTTCAGCTGCTTATTCGCAGCCATAATCTGTTGCACGATGTCCTCGGTGCATCTCATATTGAAATGGCTTTTGGCAGGCAAATCCCACAGCATTTGATTGATCGCCCTGSCCACTCTTCTGCTGGCCACCACTCCACATTCCTCATATRATGGGCAGATCGGCCTCCACTTACACACATCCTTATGTTTCRGGATAACATAACATCTCCCCATCCTACCCTTCTTGTTCCACCAGCCCAAATCTGGCATATCCAACTCGCAAACTTTCGACTATTCTCCTCATTCAGCTCCTCCTCATTCAACGAAACAGGACAAAAACCTGGATTACAGGGCACCTGACCAACCTATCAAAATTCTTCTTCCAGACTTCCATCGCAAGCATACTACAAGCCCTATCCTCCTCCCGCAACGAGCCATTGAAACAAGCATCCAACAACTCTCCCGATATCAAGGCTTCAAATTCCATGGTGATAACATTGGCCAAACCCAACAAATTTCCGAAGGCCGCCAATAGTTGCTTCTTCAGTGACCATCTTACATGCCTATCTGCAGGCCGAGGGATGTTTCGGGAATTCTTGAGCCAGCCTGGTACAAATCCTACCTCTCCCAACCTGAAGYAGAAATGTCCATCTTTACGCGGGAATCGTTCATCCGAGCCTCAACAAGCGCATGCCACCTTCTTTTTTCRTGATACAGCCCTGAAATTGTAGAGGATATCCCCAATGCTTCTATTCTTTCCCCATACAACCCTCAATCGACGAACCAACATCCATTTCCATCCAGCGGAGATATTCAACTTCCCTACAAGCATTGCACACTGGCACGTCTTCCTGATCTCCGCCTTGCTCAACGTCTCATCATATGTTACCTTCACCAGCAGCCGATCCCTCACGTTAATACCAAATCTACGGCGAATCACCCCGGAAAGGATACATCTCAACATATATCTAGTCCGTTTCTCCGAAAAAGATCGCACAKCACTGTACATTCAAACAAGCCTCTCAAAGTCCCACCCATGCAACTYCATACGCGACTSCGGCTGACTCAAGAACTTGACGAGCGTCGGTTTGAACATAGAGAGCGAGGAACAGAAAGAAATAATAAAAGTAAACTCTACCCTYATCCCATCYACTAGCCATTCCTTTGYCTTTCTCAACTGCGCCTTTCCGAAGCACGTCACCACTTCCGAAGAACCATAGCATCTTTTTACGAATTTCCATTGGCTTACCAGCAGACATCCACCCTTACAGTCTCTCACCACGCCAGCGGACCCCATCTMTCGGCACTTGTTCAAAATCCTGAGTAAACTTACCGTGCTAAAGCCATCGTTAGTGACAAATGTCAAKTAGGTTCGCCTGRCCTCAATACCCACCTTAGGACCATCTATCCCACTCCTCCTACTCCGTCGCTCACGCTTACTTGCCCTYCTTCGACGATGCTTCTTTGGCCTATCTCGACTGTTCAGATAAGGCGAGATAAATCTAATCGTAAATCTCTCCAGTTCAAACATATCCTCCTTCGAACATCTTGCCAGTGGCAACGCAASATACTGTTGAGCCCCACATCGACGYWGCCAGTTATACAAACGCTGATTACGCCGCCCAKATTCAACCACACGATAATTACTSATTCTAAACARATGCTCCCTCCATCTCACATCTAACGATCTAGCCGTCGCACCCACATACATATGCTTGGCCCATGGAGACAACAACACGTACACAAGAGGACCACGACRCCTAACCAGATCAACGYCATCATCACAGATCACATTGAAATAGCTCACAAGCTTTTCTGCCCAAGGTATTTCACCACGCAGTACCAAAGAGAGAACCGCTCATTGGTACTCACCAGTCGATATACCCTTATTCCATTGATCGACTTCAACATTCTTAAAACGATTGACTATCCTCCATAATTCAGTCGCGTCCGGGAAGTCCCCTCAAGCCGAATCTGACRGTACGTCCTCCACCTCCACACTAACCTCATCCTTACCCTTGTCAACAGCAGATTCCTTATCGTTTTTAATTTCGGCTTCCCCTGCAGAGCCAGAAGTCTCCCCGAGCTTCCTTCCGAATCGCGMGTCAGCCSTTATTTCCRCCAGCTCATCAGCCGTTTGTTCGATAGTCTTGTAATCAATCCCTTCTTGCAAACAGATCTTTTCAAGACCAAATTTCTTCAATGCACGCAGTTTTTTCTTCTCTTCTTGCAGATAGGCAAACCGATCATTCTCTCMACTGACGCTGATGTCCTTCCTTGGCGTTCTCCCTGCCAACRCCTTAGGCCWAYCTCRCCTCCCCGTTTTTTTACCGCTAGTAGCAGCCGCGTCCATCTTGCTCTTCAAGTCTGTCCCACCTGTCGGCTTAACCACAGCTTCGGTCGTGAGCCTTTCCACCTGCTCCCGAAGTCTAGCAACTTTCGCTTCCKCCTCTCGTTTCTTGTTCTCTRCTTCCAACTTTTTTGCCTYCGCATTCGTTCTCCTCTGCTTTAACGYCCCCGCCTCACGCAAAGTACAGTACTYCGCATCCTTCATTCTCCGAATTTCCTCTCGCATATTGGAAGAGGATCCCATCACCCGCTGCCTTGTCCTCTCTCTTATTCCGCTCTCTGGTGTCGTAATCGCTATCGTGCCTCTTTTGTTGCCCGRCCTCAATGCCTCGTTCATCCACATYTGTGTCTCCTCCATCGATTGTTGCTTCTCTTTCCTAAGCGAACCAATCTCTGATTTCATGTCGACCAACAGTTCCTTATCCKCTTTYCTCTCCTCACGCAACTCTTGCATCCCCCTCATAAGCTTATCCWAACSATCCTCCAATGGATTCCGAATCGAGCCCATCTTCTTCCTTAACTCTTCGTTCTCTCGAATCAGTCTATCAACCAAACCTTCATTACTGTCATTTTCCTTCTCCAATTTCTTCCTAATTTCCTCGTTTTCTCTTCGCAACCTCTSTAGTTCATCYGCTTCCTTGTCTTTACCACTGGATTCAGCCACCGCGACCACCTTCTTTCCTCCAGTTACAGCGTTACCATAAATCGCCGCCAATCTGCTCTCAAGCCTATCACCAACCCTCGCTTCGAACTCTTCCCTCTCCTTTTGCGCCTCCTTCTTCCTCTTTTCATTCTCCTCTTCCTCTTTCTGCTTAGCCTTCTTAGCCCTTGCTTCATCGACAAAAGCAGCACWGCGATCCAAAGTCTGCCTCCAGTAACCCRTTCGTTGACCATAGTTGTTCGGAACARCAATTGGTGCAGGAGCCGCTGCCGGAGTCGGAGCCACATACGCCGATTGCAYAGCAGCARGAGCCGGAAGAGTCAACAGAAGAGTACTCACAGGAGTTGCATTTGCTCCCGTTAACGGTGTTCGCCGTGGATGAGGACATTCTCTTGAAAAATGACCAGGTAACCCACAATTGTAACAGTTTCTGACGTAAGGAGCAGCCATAATGAAAACGTAGCCACACTACTCGTAGTCTTATTCCTACGCAGGTTACTACGTGAAATAATGGTAATTGTTTGGCAATTAGCACAATACAATTCTCAATTCATCATTCCGCACAAGTAGATTCATGACATCATCCCAAGAGAAGCTGAGGAGGAACAGAGAACGAAAAAACAAGAAATCAACGCAGTAGCTCTCCCGAACGCGACCCTTGATGGGTCAAAAGATTAACGTTGAACATCACCCATCACGTCACCGGCTTCGTGCCAAAAACGGTCGGCAATTTCCTGACAGAGTCAATCCTTTGCCTACCATGACTGCTAATCAACCGGTAMCATAGCGCGACCCTAYGCCRCGTTTTGGYWGGTCGMCAGCCAGCCCTCATCAGGGGTCAGGTATCGCAAGTCAAGGAGGACTAACTACTYGTTGTTTCTATCTTAAGTAGCCCTACACTAACTTGCCTTTTCACAGAAAATCCAGAAACATCTATCGTCAAACTTACGTCCGAGAGAAAAAATAATTCCAGATGCGGGAATCTCCAGAACTCACAACTCAGCCCAAATGCCGTCCAGCTATCACACCACAGAGTACCGGAAGCTGTCCAGATTCAAACAGAAACACCCCAACCCAACACCACAAATKGCCTTCAGACAKGACGGTACCGSCCAAAMGTGATATAGTCCTGTCCTACCCCCAGCTYATACACAATTCAGGCTCAGCACCCTTTCACAAAAGACCTTCAAACAGGAAGGCACCAGGCCGATAAAGATCACACCCGGCCTGACCCCCAACTCATACCTGGGTCATTACTGCGATGACAACACGGCTGTCAGTACTTCCGTCGCCTTTTGGAACTCGGCGCGGTTTTCTTTGCYGACGTGTGTTTTTTTGGGAAAAAATCATAAAACCTCCCTGCRATGAAACYGTTGTATGATTGTATCCATTTCCATTTCCCCCCGCAACGAGGAAAAAGGTGCYGCAGACCCCCAAATCAGTTAATCAGTTTTAGGCATCGTTTTTGCACCCCGCAAAACACTTTCCCGCCACTTTTACACAGCGGCCGTTCCGGGCCCAACCAGGGTGCAAAAAATGACACCAAGAGTGATTTTGGGACCTGAGGCACTTTTTTTCTCGTTTGGCGGGAAATGGATAGAAAGGTTTCGTCGCGGGGAGGTTTTATGACTTTCYTCCTTTTTTTTGGCCACTGGATGCGCAGAGGTGACCTGTACCTCCTTACCTCCAAAAAMATGGAGGAGGTTCTCAATAATGCCAGAACAGGCTCCTGTATGATAACTTTTTGGCTGCCTCAGGGCATACTCACACGTAGTCTAGGACTTTTTCCAGTTCTCTTTGGATGGCATTGCCGTCAGATTTGTGGTTTTATACATCCAGGAAAGTCCTAGTTTGAGCATGGCCGCAGCCTGTGTTCGGTCGGGTCTCGATTACCGATAACTATGTCCCTGCTGCCTAATGTTCCCCTTTGAAACTTTTTTTTTTTTTTTGAGGAAACTGCTCCGGAGTCACACTTTTAGTTCAAAATAGGCAGGTAAAACACGTCATGGCAACATGAACGTCGTCGTAGTTCAGATAGGCAAGAAAAACACTTAATGGCAACATCCTCGTCGTCCAAGTTCAAATCGGCAAAAAAAGCATC